AATCTCCACACTTTTTAATCATTAAAAGAGAAAGAATATATTTGTAAAATCTCAGCGAAAGAATCATACTAAATACAGTATTAACGTACTTTAATTATACTTTCATCACTTGCCTAAGTTCTATTTCAATATTCTGATTTTATACATAAATAGTTAATCAAATTACAGACCTGGTGTTATTTTTTCAGGAATGTCTGTTATATTAATTTTGGTATATAATATGAACTTTAAGTGATCATAGAAGCTATTGACCTGGTCTTTATACATGCATGACATTATGTGTAAAATGAGTTTGTAGATGAAGTGATAACATATAATCTAAACCCATATTTTATAAAGTTTATTGTTGAGAAAGTAGGTTGTAATAACTGTTTTCCCCAGTACTATCAATCATCCGGAGTAGCGGTAGATGAAATGAAATATGAATGTGCTGTTATTCGCTCATTTGTTATCTTGCTCGTACCAGTAAGAACATATAAGTCAAAGTTCTGAACTTTTCTATTTATTGTTTTTTTGATAGGCAAAACGTCTAATTTATTAAACTAAAACAAATGGAACAAGAAACAAAATGTAAGCCTAATCATAATCATGGCGATATTGTTGAATCAACTGCAGATGATTCCATGACATCGTCTCATTATTGTTTTGGTTTAAAAATGAAATCACATGAGATTCATGAAGGAAAAAGTAAGTCATTATGTAGAAATCCAGTTGGTTCATCAACATCAATATCTATGCCAATTGCATGGCCTAAAAGAGTTGGATCAAGGAAAAAATCAAATACAAGCACAGAATTCGAAGAAAAATCCGAATATGGAATTCAAAAACAATCATTAACGGATATAGCCAATAGCGATAAATACAAAAAAGAAACAGATACACAAAAACAACGCTTTTGGGTAAGTATATTGATTTTTGCATAGATTACATAAACAGATTTTAACTATTCAAACGGTGAATTTAAAGAGTAAACAGTTTATGTTCATTTCACAGTATTATAAATTTCTAATAATAAAGTTATTTAAACTTATAAACTTACAGACAAGGTTGAATGTTGTGCGTTTCGACCCTGACAGAATCATGAAAAGATTCATCAAAAAACTTAACAACTGCCGAATGTTCCTTAGTTTTCAATGAATATTTTATAGTAAAGGCAAACAAGAAATATTTAGTGTTAATTTCATTTTGAGACATTACCATAAGCATTAATACCAGAATGTTGTAATACTATTTCTAATTATTATTACTCCTACAATAAATGAAGAGTTTGGATTTCAAAAAAACTGGCGTTTGTATTTGGAAGATTTAATGTGACTTTTACTTTATTATTATTATTATTATTATTAAATTACTATTTATTTTATTCATGAGTTATCTGTTCAAAATGTTCCATCCTCATAGTGATGAAATTTTCTAGTTTCTAATCCCGTTGGTCATAGCACCCCCGGGATTCCTCTGGATTTAAGCTCTTTAGATTCTCGTTTGTTACACATTTTGTCACTCATTCCTTACTTTGTGGTTTCAGTTAGCAGTCCTACACAAAGAACTATACATGAGCCTTTCTTAGGTTTGATTCAAGTGTCAACAACTTTAGGTAGACTTGCACACAAACAGTTTCTAAGATCTCGGTTCGTAACTAATGATCAAGATGATCAGCTGAAAGTCACAATATATGCAAGAGCAAAGATGTATTGTTTTCGTCTATACAACAGATTAACGTTAGTTCAGAACTAACATGTTTGTATTAACCAGATTATTTATATCCGTAATTCCATCTTCATTGTCCTACATGGCTATATAATGATGTTTAGAATAATTTTATTGTTGATACATAATTTGTTCTTACGAATTCCACGCTCCTATTCCTGCCAGGATTTCGGTTCTTGAAGCTTCTATATTGCGGATTTTTTCAAATTTTGATGCTTAGTAATCTTTATTCTACTTCTACGTTCTAACTATTGTACACTATATCTTTTCATGAGTTCTTAGGATACTTTTCAGATGTAATGTCAATAGTAACAACAACAAAAAATCCACTTTAGAATGATAGTTCTTCTCTATTAATTATACACTCTAAAATAATAATTTAACTGATATTTATTCACTGAGATTTTTTCATTCTTATTAGGGTAAATTTTCATAAACAGTGAACAAATAGGCAAAGATGGGTAGTGGCTAGCAGTAGAATCAAGGACGCATGCTTTGTCCTATTTGTGACTCGTCAGATGGATGTACCTGTATCTCATAGTTGATATTCACTTCGTCATCGCTTTATCCACTTAGCTACAGAGTCCCGATAGTCACTTGCTTGTGCAATAGGGTGAATTTTAAATTCACTTGGTGTTGTTTACTTGAATTTTCCGATTGATCTTTAGAACTGAAATTGATCAGTCTCTTAGCAATATCGAGGCAATACTCACAGTGTGCATATATATCAATAAGAGACTGATTAATTGCAGTCCTAAACATCAATGTGAATGTTCAAGTAAACAATACCAAGTGAATTTAATGAACAAATAGTTTCTTTTTTATATTCAATCTCTCATTATTGTTGACATTAATAATAGCAGGAGTTATCTGAATCGATCAGTTAATACTTTGTAACAAATCTTACTGTGAATGACGCTTCTTTTTACTGTAAATTTACATTTGTTTAAATCTCATTAATTTTAACAGACTTAATTAAGTTAAATAATTTAACAAGTTAATTATCATCTATTTCTTAAATTTCGTTATTCATTAGTTCCCATGTACAACTTTAATAATTTTTCTTTTACTTTAAAAAAAGAAAAAAGAATAAAGGAAGAACTTTGTTAAAATCATTATATTTTCCAACCTAATTATTCTCTACATTATGGCTTAGAAAAGGATTCCGAGTACGGACAATAGAAGATATAGAGTTATGCGGATTTTTTAAAATAAAAATAGACACGGTATATATATAGGTCCAAAAAGTGAATCAAATAATTATTTTCAGTATAGGGTTGTGGAGATTTTTGAATTTCGATTGCTATCATGAATGGATGAATGTTAGTCCACTATTGAAAATCTGGGAGCACTGGACGGCCGTTTTGTCCTAGTATGGGACTCCTCAGCAGTGCGCATTCACGATTGCGCACACGGGACTCGAACTCAGGACAGATACGTAAAATGTGGACCACTGAGCCGGTCGAAATCCAACGGTGTTAATGTCTAACTTTAATCAATCCGACCGTCCACCATCGTCTTCAGTGAGTAACAGCCTCTACAACAGACACACTTGAACTCTACTAGCCACGGCCGTCCAGTGCTTCCAGGTTTTCAATAGTGGTCTACCATTCATCCATTCATGATATTAATTGAAATAATTATTTGCCAACAAGAAATCGTCTTTTTTTCTATATCTATAGATCTTTATAATTTTCACTGAAATTTCGAATCCAACTAAATATTTATGCCCTATTTTGCAGTAATTTACAAAATAGTGTTTTACATGAGTTAGCTGTAAAAGTCACACAAAAACAATATCAAACTAAATGTAAAGCAAAGTGATGAATTACGTAACTAAAATGTAATAAAACATAGGCATTTTGTACTAGACTTTAAGTTACAATTTTTATAGGAGCAAGTGTTAGTCATTCGTTTACATAAACCGATGATGATTATGTTAATTATTTAGTTCTTTTGCATAGCTTAGAAGCAACATTTATGTTATATTTAAGGTCATGTAAGTTTAGAGGATTTAAGGCACTGATAAATATAAATATGTCTTCCCTACGGTCCCACGTGGTATGTTTACTCATCAAATATATTTGATTAAGAGATTTGCGGTGTTTTGAAAATCACATAACACTTTTGAGATGTTTTGTCTACTTATGTGACTCCTCAGAAGTGCTTTCATATACCCCGTTCGTAGGATAAATCACAAAATCCAGGTTCCTCAGAGGATGTAATACATTCGGACAACCAAATTGAAATTAAGTGAAAAATATTCCCAACTTCAAGCCACTCACGAAACAAAAGGACAGTCATCCACTCACAGTGGTGTGGTGAAGGGCAACCGGCTCATTTTAGACATGGTTAAACTTAAATAGTCATGACTTGAATTTTAGGTGGACGAGTCAATGTGACCAATGTTAGATCACCATTAGAATACTAGAAGCACTGGACAGGTGTTTCGTCCGAGTATGGTACTTCAACTGAAGATAAACGAAGCTGGTCACGAAACATTATGGATGAGTTGAAGTGAGACATTAATGCAGTTAGATACTTACTCAGTGGTTTAAAAGTTAAGCGTTTACGCTAGACCGATGACCCTGGACTCGAATCCTGCAAACAGGATCGTGTATGTGCACTGTTGAGGAGTCCCGTACTAGGACAAAATGGACGTCTAATGTTTCTAATTTCCTACTTGTGGTCTGACATTGATCTTTTCACTACTTCAATGAAATTCACCTATCTCCACAACCCCTTAATAAATACACTTAACAGTTTTAAGAAACAATTCTTCACAATGTTTATATCAACAAATGAGTTTACTTTTTTATGATTAAGATAATAAAAATGTATAAAATTAGATTTTCAATAAAAGTAAACTAGAATCATCAGTTATACATAAAATGAATTCATATTTTATGCCTCTTATTCTTGTTTCGTTCAATATAATTATTGGACAGTACAGTAACGAGGATAAAGAGATAATTATTAATTTAAAGGTAAACTTTAAGAAAAAAAAACAAATTAAATATTCATAAACACCACAAATATAGATAATATAAATTATTATTATTATTATTACCTTCATGTCCTTAAAAGTTTGTCACACCATTTCTATGAATTTTTTCTATCAGAATTAGTATGTTGAATAGATCATTAATCAAACCAATTGGCTATAGATAAACATAGATAAAGAAGGTAATTGATTGAAATACTAACTAGAAAAACATGTTAACCATCTACATACGTATTGAATTGTTATGATTATTAGGTGCATATATATACTGAACCGTTTCTAAGTTTACAACAACTGATAAGATCATTATTTATAATTAAACAAATTTATTCACAAAAAGTTAAATTTTTCTAAAACTTAACCACAGGATAAGCTTACACATAATTTTAGATGGATTGAAAAAAACAGGATGAATCTGACAGTAATCCTTATAAAATGCATTTAACTGAGAAATACAAGTTTGTACAAGTTTTAAATATCCCAAGTTAGTTCAATCATAAATTTAGTTTTAACTATTCATTGTTAATATTAGCCAGATTACTTATAGTGTAAATATTCATATCGCTTGAGGAGCTCCATTAGAATCAAGTTTCATGAGGTGGCATCATTTTTAGGAGCCGTAACACAGTGAAAAAAATACATCACTGAAAGTAGCCTCGAAGTCAGCTATATGTTAATTTGGTTTTAGATTCTAATATATGTGTTCGAAAGTAATATATTCACTTTTATCACATGATCTATCTCCAAAATAAGGTGGAGCAAGTGAAGTCGGCTTTTTCTGAATTTTCAAGAAAATTGACTGGAATCATGTTTAAGAATTAGAACCAATATAATTGACAGAATATTAGTGTTGGTACAAAAAGAACAAAAATATTAATGGTATTCGCCACAGATGGATTTCAGTTGGGGTACTATTTTAGATCAGGTAGCAACAAAATACTGTTTTACCGTGGTATGGGACTCCATAACAGTGCTACTCAAGACCCGACCGGGGACTTGTTCCAAGGGGATTTTCTGAAGTTCGATTTGTAAGTCATAACCTGTGGAGTTTGGATGAGTCTGGAGTGAAACAGTAGTTACTAACATCACTGAATAATCACTGTGCAATAGCATTAATCGACTGAATATGAAGATGTGTACCATTGAATACCAACCTAGTGGTCTAATGGTCGAACCCTCTCCACGACGTTCCTGGGTACGACTCATGCGAGATTCTTGGGAAAACACAAGTGAACAGTCCCAGTGAACCAGTTGATAAACTTTCCCTGACAATGAACGGTACTCCAGCCGAAGTTGGTCAATGAGGAATCACTCCTTCGAATTAAATAAATATCCACAGGACCATTTCATCGGTAACAGTAATGCTTAAAAGGTAGGCACGTGTTTGTTTACTAAGAAGAAATGTTCTTATTGAGAACTGGCATAAAAACAAATAATGCCTATGAACACCATAACTTAAATTCATTTATTTATGTGGTCCTAGAAGATAGGGAAAACAATTTGTCTTTTACTTACTAAAAAAGATAATGATTCATATACAATGTAACAAAGGGCTAAAATTATTAAAACATAACGGAGACTAATGGTAATATTATTAATATAGATAAAAGTAATGTTTACGATTATATTGTATGACCGTAAAGTGAGTCATTATAAATACAACTATGTAAACATGAACGTTATTAGAAAGAAAGTAGAAAAACATAAATGATTTGTATACAAGATTGGTAGAGAAGTCTTGTAAATCAGCTCAATAGTAAACATTATATGCTAATATTTTTGCTCATACTTAGTAAATGAATATGAACAAACCCTCAAATTCTGAGCTCCCGAAGATTTTATGCTCTAGGTTCACTGGATGATACACTTATGAACTTTCAATAAATTAATTTTCCCATCTAACTAGTCATCTTGAACAATATTTGATAAAGAGGTAGTGGGTTAATATGGTCTTTCTATTCCATTGGGCTTCTACAAATAAGCAGTTAACATTCTATTTGCACACAGAAGTGGCTGAATATAGGAGCCATTCGTTTACTTTTATCAGTACTGTCCAACATGTCAGTAATTGTCCTTTCTCCAGCCACTAGCACTTTAACATCCATACTTTGAAGGCTACAAGCGAATATAGGGGTTTCTTTTTTTCAAATACTGGACGGCTTTCTGGAGCTAATTTAATAATTGCGATTTTCTGCGTAACTTTTTATGCAACTTTTCAAGTGTTCTTGTTATCATATTCCAAAGTATGATGGGTAAGAAACCTGACTGGTTTTGGATACTTCATGGAAATATTTAACTAAATTCGTCTATTTTCTGCAATTCTATGTCTAAAGAAATCATTTATAAAATAGCCTAAATTTGATGACTAATGAAAGTATTTTACTATTATTTTGAATTATCTCCAGTCCGTACTCTGATTAATATATCTATCTATCTATATATATATATATATACTGAATCGAATATGAACAGAAGCAATTAATTCCTGTCTGCAAAATAGGTTACCATCGTAAAACTGACATTGAAAATAGATTGAATAATCCAAAATGATTCATTACAGTATTTCAGTGATCGATGAGGTAGTATCGTTATTAAATTGGGAACCTCAACGACCAGAATAGCATCTAGTTGAGGTCTATCTGTTATAAACAGGACACAAAGTGGATATAATTCACATATTTAATCAATAAATAGTGTGATTCCTCTTAACTGAAAGTATCGGAGGCGAGGCAGTTTGATAACTTTAAAATCAACTTCGTTTACATTACAAATTGTTATTTTAAACTCATTTCTTTTTATGTCAATCCATTGACCAATATATTAAGGAGAAAAAGTTAAATTTTGCGCTTGTTCACAATTATTCATACCATCAAATGAACTCAAACTCATCTGAGGGACTACTGAATTTCTATCCAGCAAATCTGGTCTATCATGTGAGTGACCAGAAGTAGTCATAAAAGTTTAATACTGAATGACAAAATTTCTAATCTTCAAAGAATAATGAAATGACAGTTTGACAACATTTTTTCCACCTAAATGCTTATAATAATCATTCATAATATTGAGGTTTCCAATGCTTGGATTTTGTAAAAAACAATTCAGTAATAGTTACATTTGTTTTACATTCCAATCACTAGAATTTCTTTTCGACGAAATCATTTACTCAAGCTGTACATTCGTATTTTTAGTTGTATGGTAAATATATGTCCCTGAGTGAACATCAACTATAAGATGCAGGTACATTCAGCCGACGAGTCACAAATAGGACGAAACGTGCGGCCTGGATTCCACTGCCAGCCACTGTCCATCTTTGCTTAATATATGTCCATGTATTCGTTTTCCTTCATATCTGTCAAGTGGACAATCATCTTTCATAATTCTGACCTGTAAATTATTTCCATCCTTATATTCTTCTATTGCTCCTTGATTATTGCGTAACCTCATTTGAAAAGAATTTCGAATCACTTTATAATGCAATCTTTTCTATCCTTCTACAGATATATATTTACCATACAACAATTTACTTAAAACACATTAGTTTATTATTACTTACTTACTTACTCAGAATCTCATGGGTTACTTAATTAATGTTGATTTATTGGAGGCAGTTGACAGGAAACTCTGAGCCTTGATTTCAACACAGTGTACCCGTGATCTTGATGCTTCCTGTAAGATTCTGACTTACATCACTCAACATTACTGTTTTAGTTACGGCTGGTGACATCTCAAATCTTGGTACTTTGTGACGTTGCTCGAAATCTTTCACGAACCATTAAGAGACCAACATCAAGTGTCATAAAACATGAGACTAGCGTTCTCTACTGAATGACTCCGATTATCGAATACCAAGATATAATGCACATGATGTCGAGTCACTTAGACTAGTGACACATCGCGATTCGCTGGGTTAAATTGGATTCGAACTAAGAAATACACAAAGTTTACATTGGTTACTGCGTATTACTGCACATTACGTAGTGTTTTATCAAACATCTGACATAACTACTGACTATATGACCGATTCGATTACTGTCGATCGAAAATATGTATCTGTTATATTCTAACGAATAATGAATGAGTGGTAACAGCTAGGAATTATTTGTGGACTATTATTACACACATTCTTAAACTATATATATACCTATTCTTTTCATTTGACCTATTGGCTATTGCGATTTACCATTCTTAACTTATTCCCGATTTATTAGCTAAAGTCTCCAATACTCACAGCCACGTTTGGCTTGACCGTGCGATGCGGTCTGGTCTACCTATATATAAACCAAGTGTGTCTGAAATATACTATTCATACAGTGGAGGCTGAAATTGTATTCTGGACTCAACTGGTAGGGGTAGGCGAGAAGGACCATTAAGGACTCATAGTTGACTCCAGGCTGTTCATGCTGCGTAACGAGTCATTGGTTTAACATAGGGCGGAAGCCGTATAAGTTGGTGTTCTGACTGACGATCTTGTTTCACGATATTTGACGTAACTTAGGACGTAACAGTATCCCAATCTTAAATTTAGAGATTTCGTTAAATCTACGACCCCATCCGAGTAATCATTGTTTTGTTAATTTCAGCATCTACAAACGCTCTCTAACATTGTCTCGCGTGGCCGTGTAAAAGAGCACCTAAATTAGTTAAAAGAAATATACTCGATTTTTGTTTAATACAGCCCTCGATGAACGAAGTTCAACCTTCATAGTCCAAAGGAGCACCAGCGAAGTTTACATGGAATGTACTTCTCTGTTTAAAACGTACGGTAGACATGTGATCGTACTACATATATATTGACAGAAACTGACTAACTACAGTTTTGAATATTATTTGCTTACGCACGCCTGTTACCCCTCGTGGAGGAGCATAGACTGCCCACCAGCATTCTCCATCTAACTTTGTCATGGGCAACTCTTTCTAGGTGCTTTTAGTTGCTAATCATTATTTTCATGTCTGCTTCCAATTCTCAACGCACTGTGTTCTTTGGCTTTCCTCTTTTCCATTTCCCCTCAGGATTCCGAGTTAGCGCTTGCCTTGTGATGCAGTTTAATGGTTTTCGTAATGTATGTCCTATCCACTTCGAATGTCTTTTCTTAATTTCCTCTTCAGCTGGAAGCTGGTTCGTCCTCTTGCACAGTAGGCTGTTGATGATGGTATCCGATCAACGGACACTGAGTATCTTGAGTAGACAACTGTTTATTAGTACTTGTACCACTTTGATTATGATTGTGGTAGTTCTCGAACTTTCAACTCCGTACAGCAGAACTGTCTTGACGTTCGTATTGAAGATTCTTACTTTAATATTAGTTGATACTTGTTTTAAGTTCCATATGTTTCTCAGTTGTAGGAATGCGGTCCTTACTTTGCCAATCCTCGCATTTACGTCTGCATCAGATTATCCTTGTTCATCGATGATGCTGACCAGGTACGTGAAACTTTCCACTTCTTCCGGGATTTCGCCATAAACTGTGATTGGGTTGGTGTTCCTCATGTTGTATTTGAGGATCCTGATTTTCCCCTTGTGTATGTTGAGGCTCACTGATGCAAAGGCCGCTGCTACACTAGTTATTTTCAACTGTATCTGTTGGTGTGTATGGGATAGAAGGGTCATGTCATCTGAGAAGTTCAAACCGTCTAGTTGCATCCAACCTGCCCATTGTATTCCACGCTTCCTCTCAGATGTTGAGGTCTTCATAATCCAGTCGACCACCAGAAGAAATAAAAGGGAGAGAGTAGACAGTCTTTTCTGACTCCGTTTCTCACTTAAAATGCGTCCGTCGGCTATTCTCCATGAATGACTTCGCAGTGTAGTTCGTCGTATAGATTCCGTACAGTATTGACGATTTTTTCGAGTACTCCATAGTGTCGGAGAAGGTTCCGTAAAGTTCTCCTATCCATACTATCAAACGCTTTCTTATATTCAATGAAGTTGATGGATAGTGACGAGTTCCATTCAACTGATTACTCAAAGATGATCCGTAGTATCTCGACTTAATCTGTGCACTATCGATGCTTACGGAATCTGACCGAAGTACAACAGCACCTCTTGAGAAGCTGATATTTTCTGTCCAACTTGGGTCCAATGAGGTTCGCTCATTTTGAGCACCGACAGATTGTATTTCTTCATCTTTGTAACTATTTGAATGATCCTCCCAGTCTCCCACATTGTCCGGACATTCCATCTACCTATATTAATTTTTGCTCTAGATGTCAGAAAGAGCGTCGGCCTGATGATTTTTAAAGAGCACCGGCTTTCACCATGAGGCGTCATAGTTCTTCTGAATAAAGATTCTTAAATTCGGAGATCAGAGTTTAAGTGGTTAAATTTGTTTCTTCGGGTTTGCATTTTTTTAGCAAGGTTGTTTTCTGCGGGATAGCTTTGGTGAACTCATGCCGAACGATCCTCCTTTACTCGTCTTACTAACTCCCGGAGCGTACATTTTTGGTGAACAGATGAGATGCGTTCACTAAATCAAAATCATTTGAAAACCCTGTATTTCATGATATTTTCATTTATTGTGTAGTAAAATGAAACCCCTAAATTTTACACCTCAACTAAAAGGTTTTATTTGAAGTTAAATTAACGAAGGTTAAAAATGTTTTTAACATTTACGACTGATTGTAGTAATCTGTTCTTTTGATTTCTTTATATTTTACCATCCTATAGCGTTTCTTCAGGATTGGGTTTACGAACAAATCAAAAAAGCAAAAGGCAGATTTACTTAATAATGAAATATCCCCATTCGATGCAATAAGAAATGTTTCAGCTAAACACTCACATTTCGTCAAGTATCTTGCTTTAGAAGGTTCAGTCAATCAAAGGTAAGTTTTCAGATTGCTTATACCTCGTATATAGTTCGTGCATGAATACAAATTTGGAGAAATTTATATTAAAAACTTATTAAATACTGATTTCTTCGTGGTGATACCATATGTGTTCATAAATAGGATAGTGACGAGTTCAAGACACTCAGAAATAGTGAAATTTCAAGTAGTTTTCAAAAATTCAGTTAATAATTGACTTTTTTACCACTGTTTGATGCTTAAAAGACATTAGTGAACTCGAAATAAAAGCAATCCAAGTTCCTTTCATAGAATACGTTGAAAAATACATATACTTCATCATTTTTCACAAGCTCTATCCGAGAGAATGTTAATTGGGTTGTACTGAATAGTAGATGACATAATCGACTAGTACATCAAGATTAGCGGTACCACAACCGACATTAATAATCCTAATGTTAACAATACAACTGATTGTTCCCTGTGATTCAAGACAGCAGATAGTTACTGGTACAAATAATTATACCTACACAGCAAACTTTCAAGCGAATTCGATTTACAATAGTTCAATGAAGATCTAAAACATAATATTTGACTAAATTTGTTGTAAATTAATAAATTGACTAGTTATTAGAACTCATAAATGTATATGAATTATGAACTGACGTCATAGTAACAATTCAGATCCGATGAAGATTTCAGATACTTAAAATCCTTAAAACAATTTTAATCAAATGTTAATATCCCCTTTATAAGCAATGATTGATAGTAGCTAGCAGTGGGATCCAGGACGCGCATTTCATCCTGTTTGGGACTTTTCAGCTGGATGTACCTGCATCTCAAAGTTAATGTTTACACTTTAATCACAGAATAAAATACATTATTGATACATAGAATTTATATAAAAGTTTGCAATTAGGTTATACCTAGGCATGTATTTAACTCAATGTCATAATTTTCAAATCCAAACAAGAATGACACACAATTATGTTGGACGAAATTAAAAATCTCTAGACTTGTTTGTTTCACTTTGTACTATAATGGAAATACTTGATTACATAAATCGTTATTTAAATTGTTTCCTTCGCTCACTTCATGATTCTTACGATTCACTAATCGAGCTCTCAATGTTATTTAATAGCGACACAAACTTGGACATACCAGTTCTAGTCACGAAGTTTTAGTAATATATGAATTAATAAGTTTATTTTTGTTAAATACTATCGCCATTTAGATAGATACTTGATTGATCATTTAATAATGTGTTCTTAAACATAATTCGCTGACAGTCTTTCTCGATGAGAACTGTAGTCAGGTTATAACTTTATTATTTAACTGATTCTAACCAATAAATTTAGAGTCGACAGGACATTGAGAGCATAATCTAGCAATCTTATATCGGTTGCGAACTACTTATTTACGGAACTTTAGTTGACATTTTTTTACTAGGGCATTCCTATGAAAATTTCGACGTACACATAGTACAAAAACAAGTATTGTGTTCATCGAATTTATAATAATCAATACATCTCAACTTTTTATTTTATTGATATTTTTGTCAAGTTTAACCTACCTTCCATCAACGGTCAAAATGAGTTTGCAGTGGCCTGATCAAGAAAAATCAGATATATTTGATTCCAATGAAACAAAAAATTCAACAGTGTGTTCAAACGAATGTGTTAATCCTGAAGAAATTAGCTACAAGAATGACAACTGTACTAATGTGATGATTCAACCACCTAAATGTGGACAGAGAAGTTCTAGTGTTACACCATCAGATAGGTTTTCAGAAACATCTAGTGATAGAAACATAGAGTCTTGTTCGACATGCGAAAACGTTTATCCACCAACTCCTGTTGCCTCCAAATCTACCGTGCTTCTCCGTCGCCCAAGAACTCCCACTTTAGGAAGAGCTGCTTTATTTGTTCGTGCATCATATATGGGTGTGGATAAGTCGGGAACACCAACTAGTTTATCATTTTCAAAACAAAGTACAAAACGAGATACTGTGTTATCAAATGATTCTCATTTCAGTGATTTTCCGAATTTATCCAGTACACAGTCAGGTTTTATTAGTCGTAGTTCAAGTCTAAACTCTGAACTCAGGGAATTCAATCAAAATACACAGCAAAGGTAAAATTTAAATGTTTATTTAATTTTTCAAATCATTACCAACATGAGATAATAAAATGTATGTACTTTTGAAGCATTTCAAAATATTCCTAAAGTATTTGTGTTTAAACTTTCATTCCAACTGAATCTGGTAGTTGTGTTTTGATATTTTTTCGTCTAGGAACTCCTCTTCTAGGTTTCCTTGGTGTGCAAGTCCACTAGCCTACACTACACTTTCCGTTAATAAGAAACATAGGATCGATATATATGTATTGATTATTATATATGCTTAGATATCAATTGAAAATCCCCATTTGAAATTATACGGATTCATTACTAAACTGACTAGTACTAATTGATTGTAAAATATCTTAAAGTAATCAATAACTGCTTTCACGGTTTCTCAAAACAATAAACGCTGCCAACATTCTTGTCGAAAAGGTTCTCATTATTTACTTATATTGATCAAGTGTTTGAGAGTATCCACTTGTCTTCATATTATGCCAAATTATTGATGTAGTATTTGTTAAAATCAAGACTTAAAATTGTTCCATTATAATATACTCAATTTTTACATCATATGATATCTAACATATTTTTGAAAAAAAAGTATTATGATAAAACTAAATCGTTATTGTATCAGTTTATCAATCAAAACTTATTGGATTAGACATCTGATATTGATACAGAGAAGGATGTCAAAAGGAAACTTTATGAAAGCCAAACTTCAAATATAAGTCGTCATGTATATGGAACAATATCTAAATGATCTTATTGAGTGATTTTATTGGTAATTGATAGAACGGGATAAAAATACATAATCTTGATTTTATTCAGTGTGATTTTTGTCCATTATTGCTTTGATTTTTAAATCCGTGTTATAATTAATCAGGAGAAGATTCGCTTCATGTCAATGTAATTCTGAAATATGCTAACAATAAGCAAGTTTTTGTCTCGATTCACTTGCTGGTTGTTGTTCTGTACTGTCCAGTTAATAACAGAAATGGTGCTATTGGCAGTTGAGTACACTGACTGCCAACTTAGGTTCATCACACTTAATTAAAAATTCAGATGTATTGGTGGACTGATATCTTGGAAATATTTAATAAATTAAACCTAAGAATTCTTTGATTTTCAGATGGTGGAGAAGATTTGTAGCGCAAGTGGGTGATTTTGATGGAGTTTTGTTCTCTGAGCTGGATGGTTTGGTCGTTGAGCTTTTGATCATTCTTCTGAGTGACATCATCAGCATAGAATTCAGGTAGAAGTGAAGTGATCGAATTTCTCCACATGTGGTTCACAGCTTATCTTGTAGACCTCGATGTTAATTGGTTTTTGTTAACCTTAAACTTGTTATTGTTTACAATAATGATTAAAGCTCCACGACCAAATCATCCAGAGAACAAAACTCCATCGAAATTCTTTGATTAGAAGATTGATTTCAGTATATATGGTTCACTTATTAAAAGAAAATCAACTAAACTAGTTATTAGTCTAGATGCAGTAGGAACTCACCATTACATTTGTTTGAATAAGACATTCACGTTTACCTAATTATCTTAATGTCCTGAAAAACATCTGCATACTACCTGAAGATAGAAAATAATTCCAGTTAGATAAATTCCGTAAAAGTAAAATTTAATATACAGGTCTTAATCCGATTGTAATGTAGTTAACAATAACAATTTATGGAGACAATCCTCTCAAATTACACTAGTGTCCCTTAAAACAGGTTAAGTTTATGATTTATTAGTTATTTGCAGCAAAAAATAAGGCTTGCTAAAACAATTTTTATCTGTTACATTTTCTTGTAAATTACTAGTTTGTATATAATTCGAGTTGATTGTTGTGATTATTTACTGGAATCTATGATTCCACCGACAATCACCATCCATCTTTGCTTATTTACTGAATTGTTTTATGGTTGTTGACTGATAAATTTACTGACAACTTTACTCGCATATTAGTAGTATTTATTGTATTAAATTTATTTGAGAGATTACCGGAACATATTTGAGTTTAGTAAGATTATTTTCTGATGAAAATCATATTGTCTATTTGAGACCACTATTAAGCGAGAATTAGGGGTCTTCCCGAAAATAAATTTCCTTCATCTCCACTAGGATTTTAATTGGTGTTTATCAGCAAACTCGCTTAAAGTGTAACGCATAGTTAAAGTGGTGAAAATTAATTCTTTAATTTCAAGTTTATTATACAAAAAACAATAAGCAACTGCAACCAGTCACTTAATGGTCTTAACTAATTATACTTTCGGTGACATACAAAAACACATGAAAGATTTTAGTTTTAAGCCTATCCGGAAAATGGTTACCAGTGATATTAACTTCTTAAACAACTTCAATGTTCACAGAACTTCAAGATGTTCGAGATAATAACTAGTAAGTTTAAATTAAATTAAAGTAGTACATCAAAGTATGTTTATGCGCATGAACGTAAGTTTAGTACCCTCAGTTATAAATATTTTTTGAAATTCAAAAAATGGCTCGTAATGAATCTTGTAAATGAAAACACTAACAAACTGTATTCTCGATAATGCAATGAGAAGACGAAGTTTATCAGAATTGTGTGGTATTTATGCGCAATACATTCCGAACAATCTGATCACACATATACTTGTTAAGACATTTTTAAATGTAACTTAAAAGGTCGACTAGACAGTCTAAAGGTAAGCCGTATCAAAGAAAACATAATAATAATAAAGTACACAAAAACAATGTGTCAAATAAGATCACAAGATAGGCAGACGTCATCCTCCCTTGCGAAACATTTGATTGAGACTGGCCATAAGGTTGACGTCAAATCAGCATTTGTAGTGTTATACAAAAGCCTTCAAGGACGTATACTAAGGTTTATTGAAGCCTCGGTTATAAGGAAACTGAGACCCCCTTTATATGTTCAAAAACAATTTGCTCTTATCCACCCTTAACCTACCCTGGTAATACTGATATATTATACAGAGTGGTTATCACGTTGTGTTCGTGTGCTTTATTTTTCTTTGTTAAGGTTTACCATTAAACCATCTAGTCGACCTTTTAATTTTCATATAAAAATGTCTTAACAAGTATATGTGTGATCAGATTGTTCAAAATGTATTGCGCAAATATATCACATAATTCTGATAAACTTCATCTTCTCATGGCATTATCGAAATTTACCGAAGGGACTAATTGTTTTAAACTGTATACTGTCTAGGAATTTGAGAATAATATGTGACAGGCTTTCATGTATGCTACAGAATATTCTTTTGTCATCAGGCCAGAATCAATTTGATATTGATTAATATCATTAGTCTGTTTATGATATCAGTAGACTAGATTTACATATCTAGCTAAATGATGAAACAAAAGATTATTAAACACATTAATATCATTGTAATATTTTAACAACTATACTTGTCAGGAATCTTTATTTTTGTAATGGTAACAACCTAGTAGATTATAAAAGTATTTTAAAGAATTAAATGAATACTTCCGTTATTTCTAGCAAAATAAAATAATATCATTAGGGGGTTTTGTGGATATTATAGTAATTTCAATAGTTGAGATGATGAGTCAACTGAAGCTAGATCGCCATGAAATACTTGGGAGAACAGGACGGCCGTTTCGTCCTCAGCAGTGCGCATCCATGTCCAGTGCTTCCAGGTTTTCCATGGTGTTCTAGCTTCAATTGTATCATGATCTCAACTATTGAAAATAATAAAATAAATTAATATTCAAATAATAAATTCATAGGATACAACACCATGCAGTATATATGTAACAGTATAGAACATTAATTTATCATATTCTGTTAAGTTTAATGCAACGGTTGGAAACTAAAAACATTCTTTTATTTTATTTTATTTTATATACAGTTTTAACCGATTATCTGTTAAAAATAACTCATCACAAACTAATTTACAACCATTTAATCTGAATGGACGTCAGTATGAAACGAAAATTCCAAAAGCTACATCGAGTAGATATAATTGTCATGCTTATGATACTGTTCCGTTGGATAAACTTGAATGTTTGAAATTAATTCCTTCAGTACAAATGTTGAGTAAAAGTTCTGAAGTAAATTCAGAATCATCAAATTTAGCATTTATCAAATCATCTGATAATGTTCCAACTACAATTTCTTCTTTACATGGAGATCAAAAACTACATTCACATACTAGTGAATATAACACTGAACAAAATCAAACTCAAGTGATAGAATCTAATATTTTGCAAGATACAAGACATCCTGTTGATATGTTGATTACATCATCTTCAGAAACTGAAGTATCAGTTGTGACTCACAAAAAACCAATAAAATATGAATCTAACCGTACTTTGGAAATCTCTAATCTCCAGCTTAATCCACAATCCTTTTCAAAAAATTGTAGCAATATTTCAAATTCACGTAAATCAGTTGAAATTCCAAAAGCTTCAGTGCAACCTATAAGACAGAAACCTGTCAAGGTAAGAAAGCAAAAATTACAATATCACTTTACTACTTATGTAAGTACAACATTTCAAAGAATAGGAATTGGAATGGTAATTTCGCAAATATTCGGAAAACCAAAATAGGTCCCTGTCTTTTATTATTGGTTGCCAAGTATTCAGTTGTGAACAGATAAAAGATACTCAGCTTTTAATTATTGGATAAAAACATTTGATCTGCGGTTTCGGTGATGACCTCAATAGAAATCACAATATTTGAAAGTCATGACAGCGCTGTAGTCTGTGATCGTTACAATGAAAACTGGGGGAAATTAATAGATTATAATATTCAATAACTGTCGAATCAAACCTACTGAGGTTTTATAAGTAACCCGACAACAACAAATGATCGTTAAAACCGTGGTTAAATTGGTAGATAATCAATGTAATAAAGTGATTATTACACAATATTTCCTTAAATATTAATTATATCATTCCAATACCTTGTCTAAGATTTGGAAACAGTAACTTCTATGAACGTACTCTACATAGAATTCAGAAAATGCAATCCATATTACTGACATCTGAACTACTGGAATTTAGGATGTTCTCACTTCAGTTCAATATGAAATTATTGTACCTCTATACAAGAGTGAATCTACTCGGAGTGGAACCGTGGTTAAAAGGTGTAAAAATATAAGTAATACTCGTTTTGTAACTAGAAATGTATAAAAGTTGGTTTCATTTTCATCTATCAAATGTAAACTCGTGCCCTAGTAGTGGTCCTCATCTATGGCTAGTTACCTCTACTCGTAATGTATAAACCAATTAAGAATTTTTGATATCAGGAAATCTGTTTACATAAGACTACCATAATATTTAAATACGAGCAAAGAGTAGACATCACTAACATTTTATCTTAAGTACCGTTAATTTTCTTCTATTCATAACGATTATCTGCTATATCAGTATTCTTACTGAATATCCAAATTACATGAGATTATGCTAAAGTGTGAATTTAAGTAAATTACTCATCAAAAACTATGAAAGTATAGATAACAATTTTATTTTCAAATTATTAATTGGATTTATTAAAATATGAAATGAAATAAATTTGTTTGAAACTAAATTATGATCAGAATGGGGTTTATAGAGATTGCAGTAATTTCAATAGTTGAAGTCATAAGTAGATGTAAGCTAGACCATCATGGAAAACCTGGAAGCACTGGACGGCCATTTCGTCTTATTGTGGGACTCCTCAGCAGTGCGCATCCACGATCCTGCACGCGGGATTCAAACCCAAGACTTTCGACTTCGTGAGCGAACGCTTAAACTCTAGACCACTGAGCTGGCCGGCACCCAACGGTGCTAATGTCTAACTTCGATAGATCCATAAATGGCTGCGTAACCATTCATCCATTGTTTGAGGTGGATACCTGTCTCTAAAACTAAATTGCCGCATTAACTCGTCCAAGTTAATCAATGCCATGAAATCACCTGTTCAAATAATTAAACGCTTTAAGAATTATTTAATGGATTATTTTTGCTAATGGATACTTTCATGAATATCACTTCCCTCGGTCATTTACTTATCAACTAATAAGAGAAATGTACAGATATTTAGTTTATTTTGAGTTATTATTAAGTTTAGTTCCTTAGTAGCTGAAGTAAACTTGATCAGCTTTTACTTCAAGGGGTCAAATACTATAATCAAAAGTATTCATTTAATAAGTCACTAAAATTTATTCAAGTATTATTTTCTGTTTAAAAATATTTGACTATGTTTCTGTATTTCCAGACTATCAATGGAGCAGAATTACCGACTTCACCAAGATCTCGTAGTTCACAAAAATCAAGTCATCCATTTTATTCAAAATCAAATAAAAATTTAACAAAAAAATTCAGTGAATCAATTAGTAACACTGAAACCAGTACTGAAATACCGTTTCCCAAACATAACTTAGAATATACTAAACAGTTTCAAAATGAAACAGTGATCGATCATTCAGTTAACATTGGATCATTTGTGTAAGTTTCAAATAACCATGTTACTTTTTAATATAGATATAACTATAGTAATCTGATAATGCTAAAAGAGATGTAAAAAATATGGGAATTGTATTCATCTTTTGAGTGACCTAACACATTTCACATTCCATGCTTCCTCACTATCCATAACTTGAAAAAAAAACTTATTAAGATTTCGAAATCTATAAAATTGTAGATAGATAGATAGATAGATAGATAGATAGATAGATAGATAGATAGATAGATAGATAGATAGATAGATAGATAGATAGATAGATAGATAGATAGATAGATAGATAGATAGATAGATAGATAGATAGATAGATAGATAGATAGATAGATAGATAGATAGATAGATAGATAGATAGATAGATAGATAGATAGATAGATAGATAGATAGATAGATAGATAGATAGATAGATAGATAGATAGATAGATAGATAGATAGATAGATAGATAGATAGATAGATAGATAGATAGATAGATAGATAGATAGATAGATAGATAGATAGATAGATAGATAGATAGATAGATAGATAGATAGATAGATAGATAGATAGATAGATAGATAGATAGATAGATAGATAGATAGATAGATAGATAGATAGATAGATAGATAGATAGATAGATAGATAGATAGATAGATAGATAGATAGATAGATAGATAGATAGATAGATAGATAGATAGATAGATAGATAGATAGATAGATAGATAGATAGATAGATAGATAGATAGATAGATAGATAGATAGATAGATAGATAGATAGATAGATAGATAGATAGATAGATAGATAGATAGATAGATAGATAGATAGATAGATAGATAGATAGATAGATAGATAGATAGATAGATAGATAGGATATGAATCCCAGATCATATCGGCAACCAAGTAAACCTGATTACCATAAGTATATCCTTATGGTAGACTAGACTATATGATATGAACCATTCTTCAGTAAACGATTACTTTTTCCGATAAAATAACTGTGATTTGATATTTTCCAGATTACTGAGGGTAATTTATCTTCTAAAAGTGTAATCCACAATAAACTTGTTGTAATTATCCAGCTCTTACTTGAGAAGGTTCCATTTAACTGCTTTCAGTTAGCTTCACTGTTGAAAAAGAATGTAGTTCATAATTGTGTCATCATAAACAGTTAAAATTCAGGGTTTTTTTTTTATCTCAGTCATAACGACATTCTATCTGGAATTATTCATAATTATTAGTGTTTTTATGAACTATAAAAACAGTCTAGTTTGTCAAACTATTATGACAGTTAATTAATATTCACTGAGGACATAAACAACTTTTAGTATGGTAACAGAAGTGACTCATTATTTTCAATGATTAGTTTAATTTTCTGTAAAAGAATTTAATTTTTCAGGCGTGTGTATATATTTACACAGAATAATAATCTCTATGTCAACATGTACTACTCAAATTATTTAGGTTTAAATTAACCAGAATAGGCTAAAAAACGTAAATTTCGGAGAATTTGTATGTGAGAGGTTCAATAATTGTGAATTAGTTTATTCCTTTGGAATTACTGATATACAGAGAAGCAAAGTTAAAATTTAGAGATGGATGGTGAAAATTGTCATCTGGATATACCTGAGACCCAGAGTTGATGTCCACTTAGAGACCCAAACCCATCACCGTTTGATACAAAAGCTAGTCCCGAAGTAGATATCAACTCTGGGATGCAGATATATCCAGCTGATGAGTCCCAAATACGACGAAACGCGCGTCCACTGCTAGCCACCATCCATTTCTGCTCAGAATTCTTGAGAATTAAGTTAATATCGAGGCAGAATGCACATATGCTAATAAGAGACTGATCAATTGCATTCCAAAACATCAATGGGAAGATTCAGACAACCAATACAAAAATGAATTAAAATTTACTTACGATAAAGATTTTAAATTGTTGTTTGATTATTGTGTTCAATTCTAATTATTTGTCTGACAGAAAACATAGATCATTGGGTCTAGGCTTAGAGACTGTCGCATTATGGTATAGGAATTAGATTGTTAGACCTTATCAACAGTAAAACACCATCGACTTTATATAACGATATACACGTAATTTGTTGTTCAGTCATCTGTCTTATTTTTGTATGAAGCTTTTTGATAACATATTTGCCTACTGTTCAGTGTATAAGTAGTTCGGATTATAAAAATAATGTTTTCACACAACCTGAGTTGAGTTATGAGGATATGGTTAACTGATGGGTTTATACCGTGTGTAGATCATTTTCACTTCGTGATTCAGAGACCTACACTCAGAAATTACGTGAGACTAACAAGATCACTGTTAAATATTGAAAAGTCTTTATTACTTTAAGAGTACCTACAGTTTTTCGGATGATTTGTAGTAATGAACGATATCCCAAATGATTATCTTCACCTAGAAAACTAGAGGCAAATTATCTTAACTAATTGAGACATTCGTTATGAAAGGTAAAGAGTAATAGCTTAGAAAGTATAGTTTCATCACCAGTGACTATTAAAAACTAAATATTTTATAACTCCGTCAAAATGTTCATACATAATTTACAATTATTTATTCGCTTGGACATATTACAACATTGAAATAGTGGTAATCTCATTAAGAAATTATGGTACTGTTATTCATTCGCATTTATTTAAATCCTTGTTTTATATTGTTTTAACTAAGTTTGTTGATAAAAATGTTATTCATTTGAGCGCTTGAACACTACCAATTATTTCACATATACGAACAAAATAACAAAAATAGTTTTTGTCAACTACTCAAAAGTTATAAATTACTAAGCTGTAACATCAGTTCTTATTGGTAAATATATGTAATGAACTAAGCAGAATAGCATTATTAAGTTGACATTTCAAGTAACTGTTATCAGGTTTGAATCCATAGGCTCATATGAAGCCTATACATTTATAACAATCAACAAATTATAATCATCAACTTTAGTCTGTAAAACTGATTAATTGAAAAACTTAACAGAATAACACGAATGCACTTATTTCGCTAATTCTCACTGCTTGTTTGTTACCTGCAAACAATGTTATTAATTGGGATAAGATGGTGATTGGTCAACAGGAAACCTGGGACCCGAGTTTCAAGCTACTTGGCACTCGTCAGCAAGGTGTACCTGTCAGTCAGTAAGTCAGTCAATCAGTCAATCAGCCAGTCAGTCAGTCAGTAACAATGTAGAATTTCGTACGTACGTACATCAGTTCGAGTTGCCACACCACATTAGCACACAAATACAATTGTCGATTCAAATCCCGTAGTAGTAGAGGTGGTAAGAGTATGAGCAGTAATCGGAAAGATTAGGGTTTGAAGACATTATTCAAGGAGTATAATACAATGAAATAAATTTGGATGGAGAAAAAAAGGGACAAGGAGAATTCAGAAGATTAGAATATGGGAGGACACAAAGAGTGGATGCACCTGCACCACTGCAAACGATTTTCAGCCATGTCATTCAGGGTCTCTAACCATCAGCTGCTATCATCTCGCGGTTCCCAACCACGTATTCTATAACCTACCACCATGGCTCAGTCCACTTGTCACTGACTTTATGGACTTATGCCATGTTTTGGTCTGGCCGCCCCTAGCTTTCTTCCAACCTACTCCTATACCACTGAACATAGCACGTCAATGCAGTCGGTTGTTGGGCATACATAATACATGTCCTAGCCATCTCAACTGATGAAGTTTCATTACTTCGTCAATTGATATGCCATCCTTACCTAGTACCCGTTTCCTAACATCTGCATTACTTATTCAGTGGTTCAAGGATATACAAACAATCCCTCGAAGACACCTATGATCGATACTAGTAACCTACAAATATCCTGTACACTTACCGGCCATGTTTCGCTGCCGTAAAGTAGGACGGACCGAACTTCTGCACAGTAAACACGTCCTTTGGTTGGTAGACGGATATTTCGTCTACGCCATAAATGACGCATGTTGGCAAGAGCTAGTTGAGCTTTCTGTATCCGTGCTGAGATTTCGTCACACACCAGACCACAAGGGCTGATGAGACTCCCCAGATAAGTGAAGCGGTTGACACGCTCAACTACTTCACTCTCTATCACTAGTTCGTGTCGATGCAACTCAATCCTGAAGCAACATTTTGGATTTCGGGGGGGGGTATCATGCCGAACATGCCTGCATTAATGCTTAGAGTGGTCAGAAGATTCTGCATTCTATCAGTGTCTTCACCAAGTAGAACTATGTCATCGGCATATTCTAAGTCAATAAGTGAATCTCCCGGTAAAAGTTCAACCCTTCGGAATGTAGATGAGGAAAGTGTCATCTCTAAAAGCACATCAACGACAAAGTTGAACAAGAATTGAGAGAGTGGACAACCCTGACGAACACCACTTGAGGTAATCACTTCTGATGACAATTCGCCATAAGCTCTTACTCGACCGGTTATGTTCGAGTAGAGAGCCTTTACAAGGTTAATGTACTTCTTTGGTACTCCTTTCAGTGACAAACACTGCCATAGAACCTCACAATCAACAGAGTCGAATGCCGCCTTAAGTTCGAGAAATACTACCATTGTGAGGCGTCTCAACGTGTTTCTATGTTCTAGGGCCTGACATAGTGTGAATATGTGATCTATACAACCACGTCCGGGTCGAAAACCGGCCTGGTTTTCTCTAATCTGCTCTTCACCAGCTTTGATTAGGCGTCGAAGTATTATTGAAGCTAATATTTTAGACATTGTATTAGTTAAACTGATTCCTCTGTGATTGTCACAGGAGGACTTTTGTCCTTTATTACAGATTGGCACAATCAGTGATTGAGACCAGTCAGATGGGATTACGTCCAGTTCCCAAATTCTACCTAAGACCTCAGTCAATCTCCCTGCTGATACTGGACCACCATCCTTAAAAATCTCAAGAGTAAACCTGTCAGGGCCTGCTGCTCTCCCTCGCTTCAGATTTCTTATGGCTTTTTCAACTTCGTAAAGAGACGGAGGACCTGTCCACCGATC